AGTTTCACTTCAAACGTCGTTTTCTCGAAACGCCATTTTGGACCTGGTGCCCACGATTGCGGGCGCAAAAATTGAGATAATTGAGTGTGGTTTGCGGCAAAATGTTTCTTAAACTTGTCGCTATCGTGTGAACCTCGGATATGGTCGTAGCATGTACAGGGCCTGAGCCACAAACACGGAAACGTGAAAAATATGGTCAAAAAATGAGTTTCGTTTTTTGCTTCTAAAAAAAACATATTTAGGATTGTTTTTCCGACATGTCCGTGGTTCACACGATAGCCACATGTGTCCTGATGAGAAATTTTGAAACCCTATGTTTCAGGCTCAATCGAGGGCTTCACAAAGTTGGGCAAAGTGGAGCCGTGTCACCGAAAAATGAAAATGGCGCCCACCCCCCCTTCCCGTCGCCCCCCCTTGCTGCCGTGTACTTTTTTGGTTAAATTGACATATTTTATGCTTCAGAATAAAATTTCAACCCATTACCTTCGTTACTTTACTCAGAATAACGTTTTTACGAAGCCTCTGCATTTTCACTGGTGTGCCCCCTTAATGAGGAAAAAGTCAGTAACGTGCTGAGAGTGGATGTCTTAGTCTCCTCTCTGGACGGGTTTTCTGAACTGATAAGGAGCTGGCTGGCGGCTGTTGGCTTGCGAAGCGGGACAATGACACTAGCAAATCAGTGCACCGACACTTGGGATCTCATAAAAGGCCCAGGCGAGCGATCGAGTAGCACATCGGTCTTTGCGCAACGAGCACGATGGCGCGTCTGGCCTTTCTCGTCATCGCCGTCGCGGCGGTTGCCGCCGGTGAGTACCCCACAGTGGGCCAGAAGACCGGTGGAGGCGGCCAAAACTCTAGACGCGCTTTGAGCTCCAGAGTCGCTAAATGGGGCTCGAACAGAACGTGTGACCCCACCGGATTGCTCTTCGAACGAGGAATCCATTGGTGGGGCCACACGTTCGGTTCGAGTCCTATTTAGCAGTGGGACAAGTGGGACTAAATCGTTCACTCTTAGACTCGTTTTGACTTTTCTCTCTCAATTATTGACTTTTTATCCGTTGTTTAAAAACACCTTCACGAATGTTAGGTTAGGCTTCGGCGCGAAAGTGTTACTTAGCGTTTTGAGCAGCAATAACAAGTAGTATTTCCTTTGTAGCCATGTAGAATATTGTTCAATGTAAAGACTAAAATAACATCAATTGGATATTCTTGAAGTCAATTGCTTACGGGCACTTTTTGCCAATAGCAAATTGGCCATGAGTCAATGTGACGAACAAAATCTTACCTAGATCTTGAGAAAACAGCACTTTTTATTGCAGTGTAAAAATAACTCTTTCCGAAAGGACAAAAAGTCATAACAGTCTGGTTTGTTGGCTGAGCGATAGCGAAGCCCGTTACTCCAGTGCGGTTGAAAAGTTTTGTCGGTCTGTGTGTGTGTGTGTGTGTGTCTGTGTGTACAATGTTAGTCTTCACGCTGACCATTTAATTTTAATTACTTACTTTTGCCTTTTTCTTTTTGCAGGGGTCAATGGAGGCAAAAAGCAGGACCAGTTAATTGGTAAGCACTGAAGGCTGTGCTCGCGTTGACGTCGGAAGGAGCTTGAAGCATTGCGTCCCGCACCCACACTCAGTAGGGTATTTCCGCGACTCTCGAAACGGGAGGAAGAAGAACACAAGAAAATACTCTCTCAGCACGTTATTGACTTTTTCCTCATTTTGTCAGTTACTTATGCAAGTACTTTGTGCAACCATAATACGTGCTTTTCCTATTTTTTAAAGAACTACTTAAGAAATATTAAATAAGGTACTGAGAATTTTGTTTCGCACATAATTTTACAAAGGAAATTAGTCATACTTGCTTAGAAAACACTTAATAGTATTATTGCTGTTTATACGAATACGTAATTAATGAGGAAAAAGTCAGTAACGTGCTGAGAGGGTGCGCAACTTCCGTCCCGTCGCCGGAAGAAGGGGGGAAGATGGCTGCCCCTTGAACCCCCTCCTCAGGCAAGGGGACGGAGGTTGTGCACTTAAGCCTGTGTTCTTCTTCTTCTTCGTTCCATTTCAAGAATCGTGGAAATACCCTAGTCGGCGCGCTCCTCATCAATTCCGTGTTTGAATTGAGTCCAGGGATCCTTAACTTACCTCTTAAGGGCATCATAACGTTATCATAAGAGTTAAAGTTATTACCCTTAACTTCCAACATCTTTTCAAAAGGGTAGGTTATTTTTAATACGTCTCGAATTTGTGTGGATATACTTTTGCAAGTACTTTCATAAGTCCGTACCCTTAACCTTTAGCGAACATTGTCTCATGTTTACGTTATGAAAGCAGTGTTAGTTAAATGTTAAGTTAAGGATCCCTGATTGAATCTCATTTCAGAACTTAAGGTGTTCCTTTTTACAATGCAACCAGATGGTTTTCAAAAGCATTTACATCAAAAAGGCTTTAAGAGCATTGTTTTTGTTGGCAAACACTATTTGAAACAGACGAAGTTGGTATCGAAAGAGTGATGGGTACTTGAACTTGTACTTGAACTGAAGCACTCAAACATGTCTCTTTTCACAGAAAGCCTCTAGTAAAGGGCAAAATTTGATTTGAAGAGAGTATCTTGGAAAACCAGAAACTGTTTTCGGCGTGGGCTAGAATGCGCTAGAATGTCCCCTACCACACTTCAAACCTAACTGCCTTACGCACTTACAAATGCATGCTTGCAAGCACACACTCACTGTTATCCAAGTTGCGATACTTTCAACACTAAAACGTGCGATAATATCCAAAATGTGATTCCCACGAATCATTGCTCCCCAGATGCGATGACTTTTGTATCACAAAATTTTTGCAATGATAATCGCACATTTCTGCAATGAAAGTAGGAATTATTGCATAAAAATGCGATGATGGCAACACAAAATCTGCATTCAATATAGTTTTTTCCAATGATCATTGCAGAATTCAGCGATGCAGCAGCTCACACCTTTTCGCAAGGATCATCACAGAAAAGAGCGATGAAATTTGTATCACGCTGAAAGTGCGGTGTGCATCGCAAGTGGAATAACAGTGCTGACGAACATATTTGGCCAAGTGAACAATTTCAAATGCCTATGCTTCGTGGAGTTAAACGGCGCCAAGTATGCGTCTGTAAGTTCGTAATAAGTTAGGCAGTTAGGTTCGTAGTGCACGTTAAAATGAAACGAATCGTGAAGCTTGTTGCGCAGTCTGGCTTTGCATTGCATGACATTGTCTTCGTCACAGTGACGTACGGCATCGTCCCCGACCCATTCCACTCGAAGAGCTTCTTCTCGCTGCCCCGCACCCTTGAGGAGGCTCAGGGCGGCCAGGACTACTGGGTCCCCTCGGATCAAAGGCCGCAGGACAACACGACGTCCTACTGCCGCGAGGGCGACTACCGCGTGTGCCTGCTCTTCGACCAGCAGGGCAGCGTGGCCGGTATCCGGCTGTCGGTGAGTTGACTGAATTTCTGAGAGTATACACACTATATGTTTATGTACAATTTTGTACGTGGTGATGCATAATTTTAAACTTGTGTGCCGTCGTGCACAACATTGTGCGTGAATTTGCATAAATTTATGCATTTTCACGCATAATATTAAGGGAGTATGGGGCGATTTGTAACAGATTTCGGAATTCTCTATACAAAATTAAGAACATTCTGCATAACGGTGTCAAACTTGTGCCAGTTGAGCAGTCTGGCCCTTCATCTAGACTGTGCAGCTCCATTGGATCAATCTGGAGTCCGTAATCTTTGAAATCTAAGACGTTTTCCAAACCCTTGCATGCTGTTACGAATCGCCCCAGCATGGGGTGATTTGTAACAGCCATGGGGCTTTTCATAACATCCTACACATTAAATGAAACATCGTCGGGAATGATATCTCCTCCATCAGTTGTTCTTCGGGTGTCCTGCAGACGTCTAAAAATCTACATTACAAGCTGGCGTTGACCGCCTCAGCATTAACTGATCGGCTATGTCAATCCTAACCTCACTTTTTTCAATTTTCGATGAAAGAATAGAATAACTCGCTTTAAAATGCATTTCGAGCTGTGTAAATGAATTGGAATAAGGCAGCAGATGATTCGAGAAATAATTCAAGCATTTAATTGCAAAAACTACTTAAATTCTTGTTTAAATACGGGTCTGTTACGAATCACCCCAAATGCCTGTTACGCAAGAAATACGTGCCCAACTATCACTGGACAAATTAAAAGCAACTTATGCCACGTGGTTACATTGTAAAGGGGTCACGCTTCAAGGCCCCAACGGTACTTCGATGGTGATTCATACCTGGGGAGCCTCAGACAGAAACTTCCTAGAACTCAAAATAAAAGATTTTTCCTGTTTGCCGAAATTTCGGTGTACCCTATATTTTAGACGCCCTCCAAAACTATACCTGAGCACCGATCACATCCGCTTCGATTGTTCAAGGACCCTGTACTTGAAGCGAAAGAGGGGCCATACTCAGATTTTCCTCTGCTCCCTCCACATAAATTAATAAACGCATTTGTTACGAATCGCCCCTGTTACAAATCGCCCCATACTCCCTTATGCAAATTCCCCACATGCGCAACATCGAGCAAGTGGCACGTACAAAATTCTACATTAACATTTAGTGTGTAATAATGAAGTCATTTAAAAAGCACTTTATAGCACTTGTACAAATTCCAAAGTTGTTGTTTTTGTTTTACTCGCCACCCATCTTTGTATTTGATCCAGGAAGCGAAAGAAGGGAATGACTTGACTTATCCCCAAATTGAGTTTTTATTTTATTATTGTGCCTTAGAATGGTTTACATCATTACACCAAATTATTTGACTGAATTCCAAGCAGTTTAGGAGAAAATCCACATGGAAAAAAAGTATAACTCAACTAAACCCCTTTTACAGTCTAAATTTCATTGGGAAATGGAGATAACTCTACCTTAGTCTACCTTCATGAGTCCGTTTGACAAATTGGCAAAAGGATATAACTCAACTTGTGTTTTTATGGATCTAGTGTAAAAAGAATCAACTCAACTTAACCCCCCCCCCTTAATTTTAAATTTCAATTTGGAAAAAAGAGCTAAGTCCAAAAAATACACCAGAGTAACATACACTTTATGCAGACCAGTGGCGCCAACACGTGGGTGCAGGGTCTGCGGCCGCAGACCCTGATTTGGGGTGGGTGGCTGGTTGCAGTGGTGGGTGAGGGAAAGGGAAAAGAGAAAGGGAAAGGGGAGAAAAGGGAAAGGAGGGGAAGAAAAGGAAAGAAGGAAAGGAAAAAGAAGAGAAGGCAAAAAAGGGAGTTGCAAGGGGCTGGATATCAGTCGCTCCCCCTAAATGAGATTTCTGTGGGCGCCACTGATGCAGACTATTGTTCCACTTGACTTGTCTCAAAATTCCTCTTTGTTTAGGAAATATAAGGTGAGCTGACTCTGTTTTCCATTTCAACGGAAAGTGATAAGTCGCAGAAATCCTCTACGGAGTGACCTTAAACTTTTCATTTTTTTTCCAAAATTTTACTAATGCTTTTTGAAATTATTAACATCTCCAACATTCATTTGTTTTGATTTAGTTCTCCCTGCTAACAGTTTCTTGTTTCTCCTGAAAAATGGCCAAAATTGAGTTATCCCCTTCTTCCGCTTCCTGGATCATTTAAAACGAAATAATTTGTACCTTACGTGCTCAGAATACTTCGTGAGGTTTAACGTGAGTGCTTTATTCACAAAGCCCAGTTCTTGCGTGCTTTCCGAACAAACTTGTATAAAATTGCACACGAGTTTGTTCAATTTCGCGTACAAATTTGTGCGAAATTTTTTGGCAGTAACAGTGACGTCTCGTACAAAATTTGTTCAAATCAATCATTGTGTAAAGCTTACTCCTTGACCTGAAACAGAGTTTCAGTTCGAGGATAATTTCTCCGCGTTGAACTTTTCAGTTTCGTTCTACTAGTAATTTCAAACGGTCGATGATGGAGTTCACTGAATTTAATAGGTATTAACTCACGGTCGGTTCTTCTCTCAAATGCATCAAATTGTACAGGCGAGGGAGTAAGTTCCGGTATTTCCGTAGGTGGCAGGTATGGACAGTCCGGGCAAAATGCTTTGGCCCAAACTGGTCCCGTTCCTTCTTTTCCTTCTAACGCGCTTTATAAGTTACATGTTGTGCCTGACAAGGCCGAAGCAGTTCATTGTCTAACGTAACCACCATGATATAGCGTAGCGAATATTCAACTTCCCCGAAGTGTATACCCACACCCCCTTCACTTCTTGGATTCGATTGTTCCAGGTGAACAGAGACGAGATCGAAGCATCTGGCTTCAACTTGGAGAGAGTACCAGAGTGGGAGTTCAACTGGAGCACAAGGCTTCGTGGTGGTGTTTACACTGCCACTGTGTACTTCGTGTCTAAAGGTGATGCCAGATATTCTGTTTGCAACATCTTCCGTACCGAGGGGGTAACCGCTCGCGTAATACCCTGTACACAAAAACCGTGTATTACGCGTAATAAACGTGATCGTAATACCATTTTTGGGTCAAATGTGCCAAATTTTGGCATTTTAAGGCCGTAACACGTGTAATATCCCCGTAATACAGCGTGGTACCGAGTGGTCTGTACACGATTTCTTGAAGTGGTTACCCCCTCGTTCCGTACTGACACACTCTGAATATGTTATAAGAAGAAATTTCCCGTCGAACGAAACTACGGAGGTGGTTTTGCTTCGTAATACGAAGGAAGGCTTTCCTTTGAATCTTACTATACTGTTATCCAAGTTGCGATACTTTCAACACAAAAACGTGCGATGATATCCAAAATGCAATTCCCACGAATCATTGCTCCTGAGATGCAATGACTTCTGTATCGCGCAAAATTTTGCAATGATCATCGCAACTTTCTGCAATGAAAATCAGAAGTATTGCAAAAAACTGCGGTGATGACAACACAAAATCTGCAATCATTGCAGTTTTTTGCAATGATCATTGCAAAATTTTGCGATACTCTAGCTCAATACACCTTTTTTGCAATGATCATCACAGAAAAGTGCGATGAAATTTCTATTGCACAGAAAGTGCGGTCTGTATCGCAAGTAGAATAACAGTGTGAAGTCAAGCGCAGGGAAGAAACACTGTGGGAAAAAATCACAGTAAATCCTGTGGTGATTAGTACAGCTTTCACTGTAGTTCAGAGTACAGGATTTACTGTAAGGGAGAGTGGGGTAATTCCGGACACGGGGTAATTCCGGACACTTCGATTTTCACTGGGTTTGAGTGAAGATAACTCAAAAGCCCGCCTAACAGAGGAAGATAATCAGTTTAAAAGGAGAATCCCAAATCGCCAAAGTAGGAGGTCAAACCGTTTGCCTGTGGTCGCTTCACGAAATTTGAGTACCATCAAAAATAGGCAAAAGCTGCATCTTTCCCTCGTATTTCCATGTACTTATCGTACCTTACCGTCAAGTTCAGTCCCATGACTAAAATTTTATCATATTGTATGATCATTGGACTTTACTTTGGCGTTTCGGGAGTGCTCGTATGGCTCGCCGTTTTCTTACAGTTGAACATCAAAGGTTTTCACTACCTGTGGGGTAAATCCGGACAATAAGGGTTATTTTCTTCAATTTCCCGCATAATGTTAAGGTAGTGGGTTCAAAATTGTGGACATGCATCCCCACCGTTAAGAAGGATAAAGAAAGAACGAAAAATAGCATTGCAGCTGTATTTAAGAGCTTTACTCAAGACAGTGTTGTCAATTTAGGGGTTTTGATAGAAATTATTCCTTATAATATGCTTTGAGTAATAATCAAACACTTCAGTTCGCAGCAAATGTCCTTTAACGCCTTCTAAAAGCATGCCTCACATCAAAACAAGCGAAAGTAAGCTCGAGTAGTGTCAAATTTTAAGGTCGTCCGGCATTGCCCCATAGGTCGTCCGGAATTACCCCAGCCTGGGGCAATTCCGGACACGTGCAGGGCTTTTGTTAGGCGCCTATATCTCCCTAACCGTTGCTGAGATTTGGCTTTCATGTATACCATTTTGAAGGTAAAGGTCCATACTTTACTCTCTTGTCATAACATTTAACCCAAGAAGCATATTCAAGCTCAAAGACCAAAAAGAAAAAAAGCGTCCGGAATTACCCCACTCTCCCTTACTTTTTGGCTGAGCGATAGCGAAGCCTGTTACTCCAGTGGGGTTGAAAAGTTTTTCCTGTCTGTCGGTCTGTCTGTCTGTCTGTGTGTCTGTGTGTCCGCACTACTCCTCCTGAACGGCTCGGCCGATCTCAATGAGATTTTGCACACTTTTTGGGTATGTCCTTGGCTCGGCACACGCGAAATTTCACTATCCTAGCTCAACTGGTTCAGTTTTTATAGCCGAAAAACGCCTAAAAAATGGCGAAAAATCGAGTTTTCTGCAGGCTGGTCACCTCTGTCTTGAAGGAGGGGGGGTCTGGGGGTCGGAGCCACCCAGCCTCGACAAGTTAAACAGTTACAAGGGTCAAGATCGTGTTATCTGTAGATGAAGCAACTCTATGTAGAATGAAGGGGGTCTGGAGCCCCCAGCATGCAACAAGGTAGAAGTAACCGACGATGGACAAGCCAATGCCTGCCGAAGGCAGGCTAGCGCCGCAGGCCAAGGTAGGTACGCTAGGCGCGGATTGGAGGAACAGGCAGCGAGACATCGCGAAGCCTGATACGACAAGACGCGGTCTGGCGTAAACCTACCTAGTTTTACAGGATCTACTGTACTTTTTTTACAGGATCTACTGTACTTTGTACGGGATTTACTGTTACCACAGGAGTGGAGTACGGAATATCCTGTACCAGGTATAGTAAATGCTGTAACCAGGTACAGTAAATACTGTGTCCTGAACAACAGTAAATCCCGGCAAAAAAATTAACAGGATTTACTGTGATTTTTTCGCACAGTGAATTCTCTCAAGCACTTAGATAGCCGGGAGAAGGGCGGAGCGGAAAACTACGTTTGAGCGTAGAAAGGAACGCCCGAAGGAAGAGGCCCAAACCTACGCTTCAATTCTTCCACTGCTCTTGAGGCGTAAAAGAGACCATGCGCTCCTTTCCTCCTACACTGGTAAAAGCATAAAGTTACGGTTGGAGCCATTCCGCTTGAAATGAAGCATACTCTGGAAATTCCCCGATGCATTAAAAGGGGGAAACTTGGCGGATGAGCCTACTGTTACGCTTGATTTCAAGCGTAAGCTGGTTATGTTAGAAAACAGAGGGACCCGGATGCTAATCCCGTTGGGGAGTAGTAAGATATTTTGTTTTAAATTCAAGTTAAGCATCGCTATAAACGTTTTTGAGGGTGCTGACGACGGTAATAACATTCAGTTTGAACCCGAATCACACACTAAATGTTTATATAGAATTTTGTACGTCGTGATGCACGATTTTACACCTGCGTGACGTTTTGCATAAAATAGTGCAGAAATTCGCATAAATTTATGCATTTTCACGCATAATATTATGCAAATTCTCCGCATGCACAAAATCGTGCAAGTGGCACGTACAAAATTCTGCATGAACATTTAGTGTGCAGGTTCAAGGTCCGTTAGAGTTAAACAGGAGAAACTCGCAAGTATTTTAATGTACAGGACGGGCCAAACCAAAGTTGCCGATTCGTATCGATACTTTTCCTGCATTTTTTTTTGTCATCGCCGGGCTGAATTTGTCTTTGCAGAGGAGCTTGCTGCTGGTGGCCGCAGCCCGAAGAAGAGCGACCCCACCGCCCCGAACGGCATCTACATCCTGCAGTCCGACTTCAACGGCTTCGAGACCAACCGACTCCACATCCCCATCCAGGAGTCAGGGGCTACGTCGGCCAACTTCACTGAGCAATTAGGGATGTAAAGGCCGGTAATATTACCGGTAAAGAACGGTATAATACGGTAAAATACCGTATTTTACGGAGACCCCGGTAAAATTGGTATTTTTCGGTAATTTTGAAATATTGACTTATTTGAACTTCTTTAGCTTCCATACGATTATACAGGACGTACGGACTGAAAATAGCGCTTCTTTTGAACTCTTGGTTTGTATCTGCCCTTCGTGCCACCCCGTGTACGTGTAAGACGTCTAGCCACTTAAAATTAACGTGAAGTTAATGTTCCCTTCTTTTGCAAAACTTGTGGAAATCCAAATCCATTTACGCGACCCAAATCTCCGAAAGGCAAATCAAAAACCTTTCTTTGTTGCCAATGTTCATATAATTTTAACTAACTTAAAATTGAAAAGAGGTAAATCTAGGGGTAGATATTTGTTAGACATTTGAGCTGAAAAGTGTAACGAACATTGGTATGGTTCTTGGACACCTTGCAGCCTTTAAGGAAAAAAGTTTTTTCATGGAATTGAGACAACTTACTTGGATAACGAGAAAAACGGCGCCCGTTTTGTTAATTCCTAAGTATATTTGGGCTGTTAACTTTGCTGCTCTACGCATTTCTTAATCCAGCCCAGTAGGAAGAAGTGAAAAGCAGTCAGATTCAAAATTAATTTGGGAGGGTCTAGTGGGAGAATAGTTCATATTTTTGACCCACAGGGTCTTTCGTCCTTGTCTATTTCAAATATGCGACATTGTCCTTGAGTCACGATGGTTTGCAACCATGTTTAGGACGATGCGGCCGATAATTAATGATACACCCTTACCCAAATGAACCTCTTTTCCCCCTTTTTCACAATAAGAACCACAGTTACCCCTTTAAGTCAAGAAAAATCAATTTTACCCAATTTTACCGTATAATACGGTAAAATACCGTATTTTACCGTAATTTACGTAACTTTGAATCTTACCGGTATTTTTGCATCCCTATGAGCAATCCTGCAACTTCGGCATGGGTACGGTTATGTTTCACTAACAAATGATCAAAAACAAACCCATGGAGCACTGAGACTGTCCAGTAACTGCACACTGAATGTTTTTGTACCAATTTTGTACGAGACATCAGTTTTTTGTGCACACGAACTTTTCGTATTGTACAACTGGCGGGCGTAAAATGTGCAGTTTTTCGTACGAAAATTTCGTGTGCACAAGAAACTGTGATGTATCGTACAAAATTGTACATACCATTTAGTGTGTGTCCAGTAAGTCTAGTAACGATAACCAGAATCCTGGTACGAAACACCAGACTGTCTGATAGTGCATTCTCACTTTTACAACCATAACTCTATTTAACGTGTACTCACGAGTACATTCCCACGAACGTGTACTCAGCTGCATCTTTTTTTATGGGAACCAAGGTGTTTGAGCACACTCTCCATGGAGTGTACTTGCGAGTACACACCAAATAGAGTGTACTTGAGAACACTATTGAAATGACACAGTTTACCACCGTTTTTTCGGTATACCTTAGAGTACAGATCATTCCTCGCAAGGTCCGATCCATGGGGATTTCGTCATATTTCTTTGTACCCAGCGGGTGGATGCTGTCAGCCTGACAAGCATTTTCAGGTTCATACACCGTCACATTCGTTAGAATGTTGATCCACGCTTAAACGAATGCGACACCCGCATCAAGTGGCCGCACGATGGCCGTGTCACGTTCAAACGAACACACAAAATTGAAAGGCGGTAAAATTACCACAATTGAGAGCGGTAAACTTGCAAAGGCGGAATCCAAATTTTACCGCCTTTGGGAAGGCGGTACTTTTTCAACTGCCCCAAAAAGGCGGTACAAATGCAGGTCTGGAGAAAAAATAATGTACGGGTCTTAAATGGCGGTAATAATTTATACCGCCAATGCAGAAAGAATATTCTGTACCGCCTTTTCAGGAGGGGAATCTTTATACCACCGGAAGAGGATGGCCATATAAATATATAAAACCGCTCTAAACCATAAGGTTGTACCACACTGCAAGCAAGAGTTATAATTACCGCTCATTGCAAGCAGTAAATTTTGTTTCCGTTTTTAAACTAAGAGGTCCTTGTTCACTTAGCGGAGCCGCTAACATTCAGTTTCCTGAAGTCAGATGTACTCACATTAATCACTGTGGCACTGCTTCTTTGATGAAATTAGCAGAAATGTTGAGTTAAGTCATAAAGCTAGTATTCAGACATGTAGCATTGTACACTGTTAAACTGGGCCCAGAGCACTGGAGCTCAGACCACAGACTGTGTTGATGAACTTCTATAAAATTTTGACAGTGTATCCACTTCACTCTCAGTTTCACAGTTGCTTCCATGGTAAAGAACAACCCTCGCCCACACTCGACCCCGTTGGTGCTAGACGTCATTGCCCAAAACTAGAAGAAACTGAATAATATTGATATGCATGCACAGCTACAGGCGGCCATTTTCTTTCTGCAACCATCTGCAACTTGTTTTGTTGACGCGACGAGTGACTGCGAATATCTGATAGTGTTATGGGCAGTTACGGGTCGGCTGTACGCAGGATATAGGCAGTATTCGCAGTTAGAGGCCTACAAAAACAAAAGCAGAACTAACCTGAAAATCATAAACAAAGGGCCGCCGTCGGTTCGTGTTTTTGTCCAATATCCATACATATAATCAAGTTTCCTCTAGTTTTGTGAGATAGAGACCTTTTGCCAACTGTGTCGTGCGTGGGCGAAGATTGTTTGCTACCATCCAAGCTACAGTGAAAGTGCGTGTAAAATGAGAAAACTGTCAAAACTTCATAAGTTTATATACACACTAACACATCTGTGCTCCACCAAGCCCAGTTTACCAGTGCAGAAAGCTACAAGATTTGATGCTATCTACTTTGGATGACTCAACCTGTTTGCCATATTTATCTTCTGAGCAGCAGTTTCACTGCTGTGCACTCAATCATGATTCATGTGAGTACATCTGACTTCAAGAAAACTGAATGACTGCTGCTATGCTATGCAAGTATGGACCTCTTAGTTTATGAGCGTCACAACTATCGTTTCTCTTAAGAGTCCCCAGTGGGTCTGACAACCTTCACGGGCAATTAGAAAAGTCTGCTATCCACACATTACCTAAGATATATTAACAATTTTGGATTCAGCGAGACATTTAAATCTGACCACAATGGTACAGTGTAGGCGGTAAATCAAACAACCGCCTTTTGATGAGCGGTATTGATGGCTTGTGTTTGGCGGTAATTTAGGTACTCCCTCTGACTGGCGGTACTGATGCAATGTTTTAATAACCCTCAATTATGGACTCAGCACTGATGGAATAGTTGTGGCGGTAAATGAAAGTACCGCCTTTGATTGGCGGTAATGATGGCACGTAAAAGGCGGTAAATTCAATACCGCCTTTTTTGATACATTTGTACCGCCTTTCATTTTTGGGTGAATGTGACATCGAATTTCAAACGAACGTGACAAAATTCACATTCTAACGGATGTGACGTCACATTCGGTCAATAACAGTGATAACGCCGGATTTTTTGGACGGCAGGCAAGCACTACTTCCAAGAGCTGCGCAAGGACGGCAAGTGCGAAGAGCACCGCCCCTACTTCCTGCTGTACGGCCCCAAGACCAAGGAGCTCAACGGCTTCGGCATCGCCCAGTACGGCAACGTCACCAACGGCGAGCGCCCGTGGTACGAGTATCCGACAGCGAAGGAGGCTAAGGTTAGTTCAACACGCTTCATTGTTTAGAACAAATTTAGTGCGAGGCATCACAGTCTTTTTTTGTGCACACGAACTTTTCGTACAAATCAGTACGTGATTTGGCACCAAAATGGGGAAGTATGTGGTACGTGTGCACTAAAAATTGTGATTTCTTGTCCAGAAATGTACATAATATGAAGTGTGTACAATCAGTGTGACGGGCGGGCTCTTCCTCACAATTTTTTTACGATTGTTGAGTTTGGAGAGTGAACACTGACCTTTTGAAAGCTTCCGAAAAGACTACAAAATTACATGATCGACGGCCCCTTTCACAATTTACTCGGAAACTTGGGTTTCATTTATTAAATCTGTTCACGAGCTTCTCGAGTCCTTATGCGAGTTTTGCACTTGCTGTGTGTTGCAGAAAATCGCGCCGAACTCTCCTGACTGTGTAGAAGACTGGATAAACACCCACGGCATGTTCTCGTTGCACGTCTACTTCGTTTCCAGCCCCTACTGGACTTTCTGCTAAGATGCTTGTGTTATGTAAAGCCCAAGTCATTTTCAATAAATGCCGATCCAAAACATGGGCGATTACAGGGTTTTACTGCGGACTTGCGATTGTGGAGCGGAGGCAATGAACGGACATACGACTCAAGCTGGTGTCTAAGAGGGCAACCGCCAATCACCCTCATCCTGCCGGAAACATCGACGAAAGTATTGTTTAAGAGTGAAAATTGTGTTGGGGTGGCAAGTTGTTGAGAAAGGCAATACTCTTCCTCCAACATTCTGATACAAGGTTCTCTTTCTGAATTATGACAAATAATGTTTTTAATATTTTCCAAATTCCAGCTATTCATAACAAAAGCTACTAAGGAGCCACTTCAAATTGACACAATGAAGTACCTCATGGAAGAATGGATAGACACGGTTGAGAGTGATGCAGAATCAAGAGTCCTAACACACAAAGTGGCTGCGCTCAAAGTTATACGGGAGCACTTGACAATCATGACAAACACATTAGTAGTAAGGATACCAAAATGTCACCGTCCGACATCATGGCGGGACAATGTCACCTCGGGGGGTGGGGGGTGTCGTGAGAGGGTGTAACCCAACTGAACCTATTTTTTTTTTTGGATTTTTTTTTTGGCGTTCAAGATGAGGGCTCTAACCCAACCTAACCTAAGTCTGGGAGGTCAAGATGAGGGCTCTAACCTAAGGCTGGACCGGGCATGGCACTGGAATGTCTCCCGTGGAAGGGTCATAGCGCCTGCGAGGTAGGCCGGGCCGCCGCGCTCCGTGCCGCGCGCCGCCTGGGAGGCAGGCCGCCCGGCGCGCGCCTGTTGGGTAGTCAGCACCCTTCTATTTCGGGGCCAGCAAAAACTTCGAAGACCGTCATGCCCAGTTTACAAATGGAGGTCCACGCAGTGAGCCCAAGATGGGTCTGGCAGAAATGTGGGACTCCATCCACCTCTTTGAAATTGGCGTCTCTTTCAACGAGAACGAATGGCTTATCTCGCAGCTTAATGTAATGAATGAGATGAGACTGCAAGCGGTCATACTGGCCGAGGTGGTCCTCGGTCTTGCCTGTGAGATGGGCGGTAATTTTCGGGACCAGCCATTCTTTCTCAAGATAGAACTCTTCGATTTCGTCAAGACTGTATTCATCTTGTAGGAAACCCTTTTTCCAGATCTGAACACTGTCAGTGGCTTGCGAGGCGACCAGTTCTTTCTGATTCCAGTAGTTGAGCATGAGAAGATGTCCAGTTAAGAGCGGACTTCCGCGCACTTCCGCACGTTCCGTGCGGACTGTGCGGAACTTACGCACGGAAGCGGAACTTGGCGGAATTTCCCCCCACTATTCTATTATTTTGGTCCAATCAGCTGTATTGGATTCGAAATAGCCCTGAAGCCTCTTGCTGTTGGAGATAATCCCAAAAAATTCTAAGTTTTAAGTATACGGTATCCGCAGTTACACTTTGCTGCCTGCCAATCCTGCCAATAGCAGAGCAGAGCAGAACAAAAGACTTCTGCAGGCAGCGGACGGGAGGCGGGAAAGCGATCAAGAAGCGAAAGCGAGCGAAAAAAATCTTACCGAATTTTCTCGCCAAGCGTGGCGTAAGTTGGATTTAGTTTTACTGTTTTACTGTTTAGAAGGAAAGTAAATCTTTCCTCTCTGCCGCAGAAATGGGCGATGATGGTAAGTTGGATGGCAGCAATCTTTCAGCCATGGCTTGTAATTGCGCCTAACCTCTCTCGTCATTTACGATATTCATTACATTTCAGCTCTCAACAGCCCGCAGGCCAAACGACTTAAAGGAGCCGGATATTTTAGACATTGCTAGAACTGTGAAGGTGACGGGTCTTCCTAATCCGTTTCGAGAGGTAACGTGTCAATTCTGTAGCTGGTACTTTCCTCCACTGACCTGTTCGCATCTCTGATTTTCCTCCCCTGTTTTAGGTGTCTTTCATGTGCTCTCTTGAGAAAGAGAGGATGAAAGCGGGGATATGCCCCGAGATGAAAAAGACCATCACCAATTGGATGCACTTCATCCACGAAGATTATGCGTACATAGAGGTGCGACAGTTGTTTTATTGCAATCATTCTGCGTCCCCTTCATGTGTTTTCGTTTATTAAATTTTTTCTCTCCAGTTTGCCTCTGAAGATGTTGCAGCAGGAATGCTCCGTCTAAGAGTAATTAATTTGTATCAGCATGGGCCGGTACAAATTGTAAAATCTAATTTATGGGGAAGACACCGTTCTTCCCCTGGATATTACTTTACATGTGTCAAGATTTCCAGTCAATCTGAAGGCCTCAACTCCCACAAGAAGTAAGATGCCACTTAAATCTTGACTTTATTAACCCATGAAAAGAATGCCGCATATGAACGGAATTAATTTATTCACAGATGCTAATCTGACTGAGATGATTCGTGATATGTCGCCTTTCAAACCGAGGCAAATTTTGTCAGTACCACCTGAAACAAAACCAGATGATGAACCGCTGGATGGCATCTGTGTGTTGCCAGATGATGATATTGACTTTCAAGGTGTTGAGGAACCAAATCCAAGAACCTCTCCTCGTACTGAAGTAATTTTCAGTAACCTGTCAGAGTTCTACAATGAAGTGTGTTTAATTTCTTTCCCAGAGGAACTAATGCTACCTTTTCTCTGTCGGTATTAATTGTTTTCAATTTTAATTTCAGCTTGACTTCATTAATTTTCTTCAGGTGTGCATCAAGAAAAAATGCACAGCTCTACCTGAATCCTGTGATAAGTCTTTCAATATTCTTACCTATGACAGAAATAAGAACTCATTGACTGTTGAGGTGAGTAACTCTGATAATTTAAGGACTGATAGTGCTGCATTTCTATTGATTTTTGGTCATGACGTAAAATTTCCTATTATGTTCCCATTGGCTCAGTTTATGACACATGATACTGCAAGGGCAGTTGTGCAAAACTGTGAGGCAGAGGCTTTCCTTCTACAGCCATGGAAAGCCACCATAATTTTGCCCCCTGCAGCTCAGCGTCTTCTATTCAGTGACATATCTGAATTTTACACTGAGGTCAATACCTGAAAGGATTGAGCCTTTTTATGCTATTAGATTATCTATACTATAACCATTTATTAATTATTCCAGGATAATTTTATCAAACACCTCGATTTTTGTATTGAACGGAAGTGTGATCTGTCAGCCATTCAGGATCTTCAAAAAAAAATTATCAGTTACAATGAGACTAAACATGAGGTCATTGTTGAGGTAAGCTGAAAGAATGAATGTTTTAATTTCCTTCTCACTACATTTGCAAACTCCAAACATTGATTTTAACTTATTTTTTATTCCTGCAGTTTAAATCATCTGAATTGGCTCAAGAAGTATGTAGGAAGCTTCAGAACATATCTCCTTGAGCGATGGAAGATTACAGAAATTGAGGAGGTAAAACCTGTGAAGCCAGTAAAGCTCAAGTTCTCAGATGTAGCTGCAGCTTCCAATGAGGCGAGTGTTTTTATTTTTTGGATCAGTAAGTTACTGGCCTAATTTTTCTGTATTTGTACTAAATTGTGTGCCCTTTACAGTCTGGCTTTTCGAGTTTTTTGGCAGTTGCCATTCAAAAGAAGTGTCAGCTTCCTGACAACACTGACACATCCTTTGAAGTTGTGGCACATGTCCAGAATCTCACTAAGTGCACTGTAATGGTGCGGGTATGTTCAATTCATTATATTCCTTTGTGATATTCTTCTGATTAGTTTCTAATTTCAATTTTTCTTTCTACAGTTTAAATCAGAAGAGGTGGCAAAGTCAGTGTGCACACACCTTCAATTTCTGGAGTATTTATTTGAGAAATGGACCGTAGAGGTGGTTGATGACGATGATGCAGTTGGTGAATTTGGTTCACATCATGAAACGTCCAACCTTTCTGTGTCGTCCACCACATCAAATTTCACATCCCTTGACGATGATGCTCGTTGTTTGGCATTCCTTGAGGAATGTGTCAAATTGAAGGAACCTTCTAAAGCCTTCAAAGGGACAAAGGAGGCATTTGAAGTAATCATTAAAAAATTGGAGGAAAGGGGAATACATACTAATTTGGCTGAGTGCCAACGAAGAAAGAAGAGGCTGGATGAGCAACACCGCAGAGGGCCCCATGAGCTATGGGGAAAATATCTTGCATACCTCCGGGGAGAAACAGGAGCAACCCGGCCTGATTGTGAGACCTCTGAGGACTGGGTCAGGCAGCACTCCTCTGCTGCTACTTACTCAAAAGGTATGGATTTAGTTACAGTATAACTGCTGCCCTGAAAAGCGAGGTACTGTGTTCTTTTCATCTTCTGCATTTCTGCCTTTCAGGTGGTTTGCTTGCCCTTAAAGTGATGGATGATCTCATTGAAGTGTGGACAGACATGAGAGATGAGTACCGCGGAGCTCATAAAAACGCAGTATTTTATCGTTCTGTTGATAGAGAAATGCGTAAAAAGGGCCATTCATTGTCCCCCTCACAGTGGCAGGCAAAAATGGACGTTTTGGTTAGTGAATTCAAACTTTACACAAAACACTCAAGTGGAAAAGGCCGCCCTCGCCCATGGATATACTATGAGCCTTTGAGGCCCATCTTGGAGGACGTGGTGTCTGTGACCCCTCAGCAGACATTTGGCATTGGTGCTGGTCTTGTCAGCACCAGCAATCTACACCTCCCATCAACTTCTTCTGGAGATTCTAGGGTAGGCAGAGCACGACCTACTGAAAGTGCGCAAGATCAGAAGTTATCTGCAGTGAAGATGTTACTGGCAGGACGAGAACAGATGATGAAGGATTTCAAAGATCTTGTTGGAGAACTGAAAAATGCTAAGAAGTAATAATTAATTGTTTGGAGACTGACTCAAACTCTGTGATTTATTATTTATTTTTGAATGTTACCTAGGTAGAGTACCAGTTGGAAACTGTTAATTGTCTGTCCTCCAGTTGATTCTGCAGCTGGAGATTTTAGGGTAGGCAGAGCACGACCTAGGGGCCGTGCACAAATAAAGT